GGTGTCCAGACAGGACTTGAATATCTCCAGAGAAGGAGACTCCACAACCTCCCTAGGCAGCCTGTTCCAATGCTCTGTCACCCTCACCATGAAGAAGTTCTTTCGCATGTCAGTGCGGAACTTCCTGTGCTCTAACTTGCAGCCATTGCCCCTTGTCCTATCCCCACAAAGCACTGAGAAGAGGTTGGCTACATCCTTCTGTCCCCCACCCCTCAGATATTTATATACACTGAGGAGATCCCCTCTCAGTCTTCTCTTCTCCAGGCTGAACAGACCCAGGTCTCTCAGCCTTTCTTCATAGGGAAGATGCTCCAGGCCCCGTATCATCTTTGAGGCCCTCTGCTGGACTCTTTCCAGGAGATCCCTGTCTTTCTTGTACTGGGGAGCCCAGAACTGGACACAGTACTCCAGGTGAGGCCTGACCAAGGCAGAGTAGAGGGGGAGGATCACCTCCTTTGACCTGTTGGCCACTAGATTTCTTTTAATTAAAAAAAAAAATAAAAAAAAAATCCACCCTTGCAGTTCTGCACCGAAGGGTCAGTTTCCTGTAACATAATTAGTGGAACATTTCTTTTTTGCTCTTTTCATCCTCCTTCACCCCGGGGAAAGGACAGAGTTCCCTCTGCCTTCTGCAGCAGGGAGCAGGGAATGGCTCCAAATGGAAACATTATTACAACCCAGCCATATATACAGATAAACCCTAATGGCAAGTAAACCCTAATGGCAAAAGGTCATTAAAGAAGGTTAAGTAACTTTATAAAAATTCACAGATGAGAAAATACTAGCTCTGCCTTGCATTTACCCTGTAGCTAGCTGTCTCTTAAGCATTAAAAAATGTGGTAGAGCTGTATGACAGCTAGTACAAGTTCAGGAGAGATTATGAAGGGGGACAGGAAAAGATAGCATATAGGATTTTCTGAGTGTTTACAAAATTTTTCCATCATTCCTTTTGGGCATCTCAAAGCAACTGTGCCTGGTTTCTCAGGAGAAACCAGGAAAGGAATAAGTAAATTTTGTAAATTGTGATAGAATTTAATTACAGGCTTGTACACATCCTGTTTTAGTATTATTCCAAAACTTTTCCCAAAATAAGTTACTTGGTTTAATATTTGAAACAACAAAATTCAAGTTCTGCTATTTAGAAGCCTTAAGTCTGAGACTACTGAAAAGGGGCTAGAACACTTGTGAAAGTGTTTTCAAAGTGATTTTGTCAAAACTATATGGTGATATAACATTTCTCTATTAGTCTGACCATGTTTGTATAAAACTGACAGGTTTTCCCGTTGAACTGAGATATGCTGTCCTTGATTCATTTTTACAGAGCTTCTTTTAATGACAATACAGTTAAATATGGAGTAGTTGGCTGTTACATCAAAATAATTCAGTTGAGTCATTTTTCAGGAGAGCCTGCAAAGCCAGGGAAAAAAAAAAAAAAGTCTATAGTAAATTCAGTATTCATTGATTTGAAAGTTATGAATCCTTCTATGAACTTTAAATGCATCTTTCTTTTTAAATACGACTTTTGGTAGACGATTCATTAACTAGTATTAGATCCTAAGTTAATAGCCTTCATCATGGTCCTAATCGTGATCTAAAACGTGAAAGAAGGTACATGTTGGACTCTTGAGAAATTAAGGACAAACAAGAAATGGGTGTTACTGGTACACAACAGTGCCTTTTCAAGCCTACAGCTATTCTGTGGTATCTATCTAATCTAGTGTCTTAAGTATCATTTGAGATCAAAGTTCAGGGTGCTTTTGCTACTGTTCAGTAGGTATGTGAAAGGATGAAGCTAAAGTAAGATAGGTGGTGATGCACCTGAAGCAGAATATCTGATACGTTTAGCTAACGATATATATTTGTACCTGTACCCGCAACTGTCCTCTGTACACCGTAATGTGGGGAATCTACTCCAAAGACTTTCTAAGTTTAATGAATTTGATAGAAGAATGTTAATTATTTATATATATATATATATATATATTTTTTTTTTTTTTTAAGACATCTTTAAAAACTGGGTAGCCATTCATTTCTCATGTAACAAAATCATTTTTAGCAACAAGTAGCTGAAAATCAACAGATACTTTAAAAAAGTATATTTCTAGTTTCTGTTCTAAAATACCATTTATATTTAATTAAATGTCCAGCTACACATATAATTACATATTCATATGTAAATTTAGACATAAACCCTTGGGCTCTGGCCCTAAGAAATTACCAAAATAGCTATTTTTGTTTCTGAGACAACATCACCTCAAAAAGTTTACATCACTTTTTAAATGAAGTGTGAATAGTGCTTACCCTGTATAATTTTCCTTCTTAATAATGAATGTCAATGTTTGGAGTTTCTACAGAAGTATTCATTCTGCCAAATTTATTCTGTTGAAAAACAAAACAAAACAAAACAAAACAAAACAAAAAAGCAAACACCTGTGTCATCTCTCAATTCGTATGGAAGGGAGCCATCTTGTGGTTCAATTTATAGTTTCCTAAGAAATGAAATTGAAATAGGTAAGATTTTCCAATATTCTCTTACTATAAGTAAGTTCAGGCTCATTCTAGTACTATATGGACTCACTCTGTTCTAATACAGCTCCATGACAGTTTACTCTTCATGCAGTGGCAAACAAGCTACAGTATTATGTGCTTTTAAAAAAAAATATATATTTTTGAATGTCTTTGTCTACTGAACATGCCTAATGAGAACAGCTCTATAGAGGGCTAAATATACATAAAGTAACACACTGTTTTTCAAAATAAGTCATCTGTGCTATTTAGCTCATTAATAGAGGAATTAAAACATGACATAAATGTGTTTCAAGCTGAGCTCATTACTTCAGTAGAGATTTTAAATGGATATTGGTTAATTAGAGGCTAGGTTTACAGGAAAAATGTTTTTCAGTCTTATAAATGGAAGTGCAAAATCCTCCACCTGGGAAGACCAACCCCATACATTAGTATCTGCTGAGAGCCACCCAGCTGGAAAGCAGCTTTGCAGAAAAGGGTCTGGGAGTGCTGTTGGGCACCAAAATGAACATGAGCAAAGACTTTGCCACCTTGTGGCAAAGACGACTAATGAAATCCTGGGCTGCATTAGGAGGAGTGATGCCAACAGGTTTTTTTTTGAGCACCCCAGTACAGGAGACACTGGACTAAGTCTATAGGCCACTACATGGACTAAGCAACAGGCCGCTACTTTGAATAAGGGACAGATGCTCCTCTCCTATGGGGAAAGGCTGGGACAGCTCTGCCTTTTCACCCTGGAGAAGAGAAGGCTCAGTGGGGATCTCAGTAAAATGTATAAATATCTGAAGCGAGGGTATAAGCTCTTTTCAGGTGGAACCCAGTGGCAGGACAAAAGGCAATGTGCACAAACGCAAACACAGAAAGTTCCCTCTGAACATCAGGAAGCGCTTCTTTACTGTGCAGGTCACCAAGCACTGGCACAGGTTGTCTAGAAAGGCTGTGAAGTTTCCATACTTGGAAATCAGAAGCTGCCTGGACATAGTCCTGGGCAACCTGCTCTAGGTGGTCCTGCTTGAGCAAGGGGTTTAGACAAGATGACCTCCAGAGGTCCTTTCCAACTTCAACTATTCTGTGATTTTCTGCTTCTGTGAGGTAAATGTTGAAATATGCATTTGCTGTCAATAAATGTATACATATATATTTGTACACACAGTACGTATATACATATATGTTTATTAAAGGTTTGGAAATATGTTATCCAATTTTTGAAAAAGTTTGATTTATTTTTCAAAATTATTCTTTCTTCTAATTCTAGTTTCATGACTTTGGTGAGTTGTTTTCCAGGTTGTTAAATTCACACGTTTGTGTCTTATTCAGAAGAAAATAGTATCTAAGCAAACATAGTTCTCAGATCCCACCTTTGTACAGAGAATACAATACTATACATAAAATTGACTACATGGACCATATGTAATTAAATTCTTGTTTTATTTCTAACATAATTAGGTAGCTATAAATATGCAGACATGAAAAAGAAGATGTTCGAGACTCATTTTTCCAGATTTCTGTGTTGAAAGGGCAGCGCAGTTTACACAACACAATCACATATTGATCTCTTTAAGATCTGTTACTTCTGTATTTGACTCTCCATAGTATTACCTGGCTGTTAATTTCTTGTTTAATTGCTCGTTGCACACCTGATATGCTGTACACCTCAGCATGAAAACAGTTACTACTGTATTAGTTTTATAATATTGTTGCTTGTGAACATATCCTAATAACAAAATGTTGAACTGATGTTGCACTTTGTCATATTGGGTGGGCAGGGCATCTGTCCTGAGGCTGCTGAAGACTTCTAGCCTATGTAGCATCACACTGATGTATGGCTGCTACTAAGACAAACATTTTTAACGTTCTTTGTAAATACTCCTATAATTAGATTATCAGAAATGAAGATGTTCTCAAAGGACTTCTGATGCATCCTCACTTGAGTTTTCTTGAAATAATTTTCTATCAAAAAAGATCTGCTACAGATCTACCAGTGGGCCCATCAGGACCTTCAGGGTATTTTGCTGCAAGCAAAATACTTAGCCTTTCTGATAATAAGGTAAGCACGGCCATTTTGGAATGGCTGTAACTATTTCAGTAGGTATTTATCAAGATAACTTTGTTTGAAAACCTAAGTTTTCACTTTTTTTTTTTTTTTTTTTTTTTTTTCCAGAACAGGAACCCATTCTCTGCCTGTATTCTGGAGAGACGACTTTCTCTCCATTCACTGTAAAGGAAGACTTGAAAAATCAAACTCCTAATTCAATGCCTGCTATACTCCCTGAAAACACCTTTTTGTGTATTTAATTAATTCAGTATTTTGGAGCTTAATCTGAATTTAAGGCATTTAACTTAATCTGTACCTTCTCTCTAAAGTTTTTAATACCAAAATATTTAAACGGTAATGCACCTTTACTACTGGTGAGAATTGCATTTTTTTTCCCAGTGGTATTGATAGTCCCTCTTGTGACTTTAAACACATTGCATGGTTTATGAAAAGAAGTTGTTTATTATTTTTGAGGAAAATATATATAATAACATGGGTGACACCATAAATTTCACGTTTTAAGATTCCCATCTGCAGAGAATATCAGTTTAAGTGCAATATGATACTGAAATACAATAAAAAGTACTTTAATCAAATCCATGCACAACACATTTACAGATTTTTACTAAAAAGGAAGTACTTTGAGATGAAATTGCCAGTGAATGTTATCTAGACAGAATTCACAGGAGAATATGTTTAAAACTCACAGACAAGTTAGTAATACTTTTTTTTTATTTTTTTTTTTTAGCCTTTAAAAAGCTCCGATCACGAACACACAAAATACTGTATATTATGTTAAACCTTTAGGTCAAAAGCTTATGGCACAATTTCTTTTTTTATACAGCTCACAATTACACATTCATGGAACATCAGTTGCTATTAGTCCATTTCATCCATTAACATCACTCTGCCAAACACTAAAAATACAAACATAAGAAAAGTTTCTTGCATATTTCACAAAGATGAAAGTGAAGAAGTGCAGTAATATTTAAGAAAGTCAAGAATACAGGATGAGCCAACATTTTCCTGGCATTTAACCCACTGCTTCTAGCAATCTAACCTGCTTCCACAAGCCTTCCAAACTGATAATATTTCAGTAACTTCTATAGGTGACGTGTGTTGCCTGAAGGCACCTTTTCCATAACCACTGAAAAATAGAATATCTATTTTATTATTAACAAGTGGCTTAGTTTGCGATTGATAGTTTTACTTCTTAGTTGTCTCAAAAAGGAAAAAAGCCATGATGGTCTGATATTGTTCTTATCTAAATAGCCATTTGATTGTACAGTGAGATGTGGATAAAGTTATTTTACTACCTTACAGGGGTACTGCAAGAATTAATAGCTCATTCAGCAATTTCACAGTATAAGGCCAAATTCTGCTCTGTTGGATTGGATTAATTCCTATTATAGCTCAAAGGAGAGCAGAAGTTGCACATAAAATATATTTACTTTTTGCAACAAAGTATCTCAGCTTGGGCTGGGAACTGTATAAATAATTTCATTTCTAATATAAAATTATTGCTAAAAATAATACATTTAATATTATTTTTTTTTAAGTTTAAGGAAGACTTTCCCTACTGTTAAAAATATAAGGTTTTATACAGTTTATCTTATTCTGTTTCTATCTACAGTATCAACCTACAATTCTCTAACAGGTTATAATACAAAGTGGAAACAATACCTCATTCTTTAAATGTAAAGTGCACATCTAAATATATGACTTTCTAGTGATTAAGGAGAATCACCTCTCAAACATCACAAAGGATTCTTTATAAAATAGTTTATAAAAAAGTTATGGAATCAACACTAATAAAAAGAATCCAAAGAAAATCATTATATTATTGAACTGAAGTAATAATTAAATCCCATGTTCTTCCTGAATTCCACTAACCTGCTTAAATAATAGTGCTTGCTGTCAAAACTCGTTGAAAGAAAAAATGTGCTTTATTTTGATGTTCAAATAGCTAAATTGTAATAATAAAACACTATTATCCCTTCTTTCCTTTCTCCCTCAAGCCTCCCCTACTTTATTACCTTTATAGACAAAAAAGCCAACCCTCTATGTAAATCTATTTTGTTGATATTTGGATATAGTTTTAGAAAAAAAAAACAAAAAACCAAAAAAACATTTTGCTATGTGGAGTTTAAGCAGGAGTTTGGTAATGTAGGTCACTAGTCAAGGCCTGTGGTAGCTGAGTATATCTATTCCACCTCTGTGGGACCTTTCTTATCCCCTCTCAAGGACATGAAGTTTCTGGCCTTACTAAGGGGAAGATGGTTTTGGCCACATTTCTTCCAGTACAGGAAGAAAAGACAGTCACATGTGAAATTCCAAATACTATGGGCTTTCTCTCTGTCTGTTATGCTATGTACAGCCCAGGCTTTTTCTCATGTACCTTCCTGCTCTGCTCATCTTTCCATTAAGAAAGCATATGGTGTGGAAATCAGTTCTCCATCTGCACAGGTAGAAACTACTATTCCATGAGAAGAAATATATTGCATAAATCCTTGCCCTACTGCTTCCACCTGTAGTAGTATACCTATTGGTAATGGAGGCTTCATATTTCCTTCTTTCCCCTTTTTGGTGACCGGTGCCAGCTCTTTAGCTGTGGAATTCCTCCAAATCCTCATTTTTTTTTTTCCTCTGATTTCATTGCATTGCATGGATATTCTAGAGCCACTATTTTATTTTTGAAAATTAGAATTAGTCTATAGAGTCCACAGAAATATGACCTGAACAGTGCAGAGTCTGTACTTATTGTGAATAATTGCTGGGGGCAAAGCTGTGTTGGCTGTTGCCTGTCAGGTAGGGGTTGTGCATACAGGAAGCCTTCTTGTATGGCTTTGCTAAGGGCCTTTACTCTGGAGAGACTAGGTTTAGTTATAGTGAGATGAGGTAGCTATCTACTTCAGCCTGATGAATGTGGTCTATTTTAGATGTAGGAGAAGACCTACTAGATACCATCTCCTTTAAGTATCGTTTCCTTGATTCTGTTTCTGCCTCTCCACTATTTCTTTTGCAGGATTGTATTAGACCACAGTCAGATAAATACCACTTTCCATTCCTGCCCCTTTGTAATCTAATTCCCTGCTATTTTACTGTACAGTTACAAAAGAATCAGCTCCCACACTAATTTTAACTGATGACGGTAACTGTTGGTTCCAGCTTTGTATAGAGGGCTGGCATGCCTATTGGCATTTTTAGGCTTTTCCCATAGTCAGTGGTGAATAAGTAGACATTCTCACCTTGAGTTTTCTTAGAATCTCGACTGACATTTCTCTCTTTCTTTGCCATGTGACTTAACACTAAATAATTTAGGAATAATCAAAATGAAGTTTAAATTTCTTTTGATAAACACATTATTTAGTGGACTGCAGAGGCTTCTGTTACCTTGGCAAATGTTATGATTCCAGAAAAAAATAATTCAAAACCATCAGCACAGGAAAGACCTTGGTTCAATCACATCAAAGTGGAAAACATTTACTTACCTAGAACAGCAGGATGATATGCCAAATGTTCTGTACATTTGAAAACATCATTATGGAACCATTTTTACTTTCCCCCTCTGTTTGAAATACTTTGGGTATTAACTGATTACTAAATAATAATAATAATAATAAAAAAAAAAGTTTCACCAATACTGTAGAGTTTAAATGGTTTAAATATTTAACTCTCTTTATTTTCAATATACCTTGTTAGAAGACTGACCATTATATGAAAATCTTCTTTATAGAGGTAGGGAGTGCTCAGCTTCCCAATGTAATGGCCTATGAAAGGGCTACATAAAGGAAGGCATATCCTTTTATTCTTTGCACTGTCCAGAATTCTTTCTTTTTAGAGGGAAGAAATAAGGCCATTTTCTTCTTTCCTCTCCTCATACTTCATGACTGAAAAGATGACACAACACTAGGCACTATCTAGTCAGCCATCTACAGGTCTCATTTCTTTAAAATAGAATATATAGGTAACAATCCATTGGGGAGGTTAGAAAATTATCATAGAATCATAGAATCATAGAATATCCTGAGTTGGAAGGGACCCTTAAGGATCATCAAGTCCAACTCTTGACACCGCACAGGTGTAGTCTTATGTTTTTTTTTTTTGTTTTCTTTTTGTTTTTTTTTTGTGTGTGCGTGTTTTTTTAGTATGCTCTATTTTTTTCTTAGATTAGCATGCTCCAGTCAAAGAGAAATATGACACAAGGGTTATTCCTCCTCACTGCAAGGAAATTGTCCTTCTTGCTAAACAGTTCTACATTCCTTTCGACTCATGTTTTGTCAGTGTTGTAATCCAATCTCTCTTTTATCGCTCTCAAAATTTCCTGTATGAAAGCAGATTTTTTCAGCCTTAAAAAGGGGAGAAAGAAATCAGGGCTAAATTTGTTTAGTTCTGCATTACTCAAATTAGTTAACATTTTCAAAATAAGGTAGTGATACATGTGCAAGAGCAACAGACTATGGAGTGATTGGGAAAGAGACAATGTGAACCAGGCATTAGAAACTAGAATAACTAGGAGTTATTCTGGCCAGCATTACTTATGCACTTATCTCTCCAATTAAGAATTCTTTATTGAACAGAAGTCAGCTGTTCTAGAGGGAAAAAAAAAAAAAAAAAAAAAAAAAGCCTACTTCACTGGTAGCAGAAATAAATTAACATCCCTTTTCATATCAGATAGTTTATGACAATTTAAAGGAAAGAAATATAATACAACTGAAATGTCAGCCATTAGTTCATGGATCAGCACCCATATTTGTAAATGAACAGGATTTTTTTGGAACATGCACATAAAGAAATAAAAAAGAAAACAAAACACCTTACCAAATAATAATTGTTTAAAGTGAATTGAATTAATTTCAGATCATAAATGAAACACAACTATAAAAAATAATACTCTTTTAAAAATATTGGAGGAGTATACATCTTTCTGAAACAGATGAACAAAATCTGAGAGCTACTATTTTAGAATCTCCCTAACTAATCCTTGGAGGAAAACAATAACAAACACATCCAAACCCAAGGTTGCTATGTTATAATCCTCAGTGTCGAGTTATATTGCTTCTATTACTTCATATTCAGCGTGCCTTTGGCAGTGCACCAGATGTTTGCCTCCAGCTGTATTTTGCTTTTGTATACACATTCTAAGCAATAACAAAAGCAAAAATTTAAAACACGTTCAAAACAAAAATATTTTGCAATGAGAAACAGCCTCAGCTACTGGACTTAAAGTAATGAGTAATTCTAAATATGAGATTTATATCTTAGCATGTTTTTGTTTTTCAATGGAGAAGATTGGCAAGAGTAAACACTTGCCTGCAAGCTATGTCATAAATGAGATCTATCGTGTTATAATCAAAAAAAAAATAATAATGTGACTTATTTAATAATAAAGAGGGAAAATGCCTCTGAGTTCTAACAGTTTTTATCCTATTTATTATATGAAGTGCAATAAATGTGAAATACCATTCAGATCCTTTTTCATATTTCAGAAGAGTCACATTTTTCTAAGTACTTCTTAACCAATATCTAAATCATATAAGTATACTTCAAAGAATGCTACAGAAAACTTGATGCACTCTTAAATTCAACCTCTTATGACATATATAACACGTAGGAAATCTATATCGATAAACAGAGGGGTACCCATCCTCCTAATATTTCATTTCATCAATATATGTTGAAACAGTTGATTATTTGCTTTTAGTTTTGGTTCAAGATCTCTTTGTACTGCATCAATATAAAGCACTGCAAAATTTTGATGTAGTTTGCCTATCTCTAATGCTGTATGAGTTTTATCAATTAAGAAAAAAACAATATATAAAAAGGATTTAAAAAAGATTCAATTATTAAAGTTTAGGTAATTACAAGAAAGAAAAAGTCGTTTAGAGGAATCAACACTTTGCAAATGTTGTTATATTTTCAGTGTGATAAGCAGACTACCAAACTGTAAATACCTTGTGCTGGCTGAGATTATTTCAACACACACTTTCCAGGGGATTGATAATATGAAATTTATTGAATAAATTATACAAGTTAAATGTGCCAACTGTGCCTCAGGTCCTGTCCTTAAGACAAATCCTTAAAAATCTAAATTAAAATAACTAATGTTTCATTATGTTTTAAAATTAAAATAAAGGTGGGATTTTACCTAGAGTATGCTGGATATTTCTTTCTGTTTTTTTTTTTTTTTTTTTTTTTTTTTTTTTTTATGCACCAGAATTAAAAAAAAAAAAAAAAAAAAGAAAAAAAGTAAGGAACATCAAAGAGTACAATTATACCACTATGTAACAGTAAGTATAAACACGCTTCAGTAGAGAGAGATTTATAATAAGTTGTTAATGTTTAATTTGACACAGAATGTTTGCAGCAGCAGATGTATCTTCTCTGCTGTCAGTCTTCCATTCCACTCTGGCTGGGTATTGCAATCCATGCATGATCTTTCCCCCCATCCAGTGTTTTTAGGTTTCCCAATTGCTCCTGACTTACACATTTCTAACAGAAGGCCTCCTGTTGGTCATGGCAGGATCTGTATGGACTGCAAACCTTAATCTTGTTATTGGTGAATGTCTTCATGCCTAATGATTTTGTAAATTACCCAGTAAAAAATATTGAAAATCAGAAAGGCTAATGGGAAACAAGCTCTGGAAATTGTGTCTATCTTCTTGGCTCGGTCGATGAATACCTTTCTCATCTCGTCGGGGCTCTTTGGTGCAGTTTGAGCAGGATTATTAGGCCCCTTCTGTGTCACTCCATCTTTTGCTTGCAGACATGGCCCCACTCCATATGCTGCTGTAAAACTGAATTGGCTTTCCCGTACGTCATCATCCTGTTGTACAAAAAAAAAAAAAAAGGCAAAAAAAAGGCAAGTTTTTTTACAGATTATTTTTTTACAGAAATTGTACCAACCACTAAATACCAGGTATTGCACCTTTAGCATGGTGACTTTTTGAACCCCCTTTTTATTTTAACTGGTTGAAATGTCAGCCTTATCAAAGTGTCTGTGAAAATACATCATCAGATTTAAAAAGCCCAGAATTTTTCTACTTGTTTAGAGACTCCATAATCTATTTAGAGAAAAGGCAAAGCTTAGTAAACTGGTTTACTAGCTTAGGAAACTAATGGTAATCAACGCCCAACTTCTGATTTATTCTGATTGGTTTTCATTTTCCCCATTTACAGTAAACATCTGCGATCTTCAACTGGGCAAGTTTCACATCGGTCTTTCATGCAACAGTCATTAGCTCTGTATGTTGCTTGACAATATGGGATGGCCTTTAGCGATACAGGTAGTAACAATGTTCAAGTTAATATTAGTGGGAATTCTGCCTGTTTGATTTTGTATGTTAGTTAATCTTACTCATATGCCTTCATTCTACTGTGCCCTGTATTTCAGATAAGCAGAATAGTATATAAAGCATCTTACTTTGGAATAGAATAGAAATAGTACTAAACTATTTAAAATAAAGTTAATATATTAAAAATATTTTAAATAAGCTTTAAAATAAAATGCATGAAAGCTAAAGGCCAGATTTTCTTCTGAACCATTCTTTTGACAAGTAAAATGCAATCTGGCAAAGACATTCTGAATTTGGTGAGCTCTAACAGAAAGTGATTTTAAATCACAAAAACAAAGTAGGTGGTCTGAAGATCATAGCATGCATTTCTAGAATGTGTTTTTTGTTAGGAGACACATTTTATACTTCTCTTTACCTGGTTGCAAATATTTTTAATAAAGGAGATACAAATGCAGGGTGATACATAGACTGTAAAGACAGAGCCAGATTTTGGATTGAAATACATTCCAACATATTCTACTATGTATGCTACTCAAGAATAGTTATATGATTTTGATGACATTTACTTATTTTTTTTTAATGACAAATTTTAAATTCAGGGTTTTGTGTTTTCATGTCTAATTCAACCTAGTTGCTTTAAGATTCTAGACTTTTGTAAAAAATGACAGAGATATGTTACTACTTAAATAAGTATTTTGGAAAATCATTCTCATAAACAATATAAAAGAGTCGATTTTTCTGTTGAAAGAGAATTTTTGATATTTCAAATCTCTTCCCAGCTTAAAATAAAATAAAAAGTAGAAAATGTTTTCTGAAGCAAGTCAAATAATTAGTGTTTTGTTTTAGTAATTCTGAAATATTTTTGTTTTATTTAAACCTCTTACACTTATAAATGTAATTTCTCAGCAAATACTTTAAATCCAAACTTCCAAGCTTTTCATTTTGAAAATGCCTGTAGCATTTTGAAAATTCAAAAAATGTTTTTGAATGGAGAATTAATTATAAACATATTTAATGTTTTAATTAAGCAGAGCTTGCTAGAAGAAACACAGCTAATTTATTAGTTTTTCTTTTTTTTTTTTTTAAATCAGTGAAGTTTATTATCAATATTAACTGAATCAATTATCTACAAGAGAATGAAGATAAATTACTGTTTGAAGTGAGCTGGTTGGCACACAGCACGAACATCCAGCATGGCTGTAGTTATCACCAAACTGATATACTTTTTCATATATGTACATTGCATAAACTTATAGACTACTATAGTTCACTGAAACTACTGTATATTGAATCTGTATTGTAATTCTCACATAAAAAATCTAACAACAAAAATAAAGAAAAATTAACATGAAAGCAAAGGACGAGGAAAAAATCACTGAATTCCATATGTAGATGAATAACAGAAATACAAAATGATGGGATGATTTTTTGATGACGTGATAAAACAAATAGCTAAATACTACAGCAGACTTCCTTTCTTCTCAGAAAGGAATGGGAAATAACGTTTTAATAGTATCTGTATTCCAGAAGAGTTGCAATGGTCATTCCAGTTAACAGAATTTAGTACAAATACATAGAGTGAGAATTTTTTCTAAACTGTCCATGTAAGCACCTTTAAACATAAAAAAAATCTGTGATAATCAGGGTTTTAATCTTTTTACGTTTCTCCATAAAATAATGCTTATGATTGCATCAGCTCAAAATAATTATAAAATGATTCTGCTGAGTATCAGCTCTCTGTTGGATGAGTTTTTTTAGACACTCTGCTTTAACTTTACCATCTCTGCTCTATGCTTATGTGAATTGAGTGATTCCCCTAGAATGGTTTTAAAAGCCAGGTCTCTTCTTATTTATTTGTTTGCAGACAACCTAAACTTAGTCTGCAAGCAGACTGCTTGTAAACACTGTCTGCTGTTGAGGAGGTGATGTGATGGTCCTTCGAGGAGTCTACTGTTTCTGCCCAGTGACTGTTAGGTGATATTTTTAATGAGGGCAGATTGGATGGTTAGAGTCTGCCAAGTCAGACCAAAGTGCAGAGCAGTAACGGATATACAGCAAAGGGCACCTTCCAGAGCACTGTAACATGCCAGGTACCACCATATTTTATTTTTTTTTTCTGGGGTACCAGCTGGTGTATCTAGGATGTAGTTCTGCAAGTTGTTCAGCCAGTTCATAAAGCAGAAAAAGCATTAATTTGGCCTCAGGTTCATATCTAAGGGTGTCCTTGAAAAGCGGGAAATATGATGTTACTATTATTGTTGATAACAAGTTTTGAGTGTTTTTTTGAAGGTATTTATATAAAATTACAGTGATACCCCGTTTGTATTTATAAATTGACTTGACTACAATCCCACTTTTTGACTAGAAATATTTCTGATAATCCATGTGTCTGAAGCCACAACTGTTAAAATCATATAATGGATGAACATTAAAGAGCCCCATACTTTCTTGTTGAGCATCTGGATAGTGAATCTTCCTGAAAAAGTCCATTGTTTTTTGGTTGAAATTTTTATTTTAAAATGTAGTAGGAAAAAAAATAATTTTAATTTTTATTATTTTGGTCTTTTGTGTATTTGGTTAGTGCGTAATCAATAAAGATTTTTTTTTTCTTTTTGATTTTTGATAAAGCTTTTAAAGTTTTAGTAGGAAAGACCTTCAATAAAACTTTGCTATGAATGTGATTTTCATGCATACTGCTTTGGATCTAACAATTTGAAAGTTATTCTTCATACAGGTACATGTAAATATTTTATTATCTCTGTCAAAATTATTGTCATTAAATAATGGTAATAATATCAGATAACATTTCTTATTTAGAAAACAAGAATTATTTCAAGGCATAAAGGAGACAATTTCAATTAGTTTATTTTCTTATCAACATTATTCTGCAAAATACTCAGCTATAAAGTAATAGCTTTTGGTTTCTGTGGCTTTTTGAATATGCTGCTTTCTGTTCATATATTTAATAATACATTTCTCTAGAGGAATAATATGCATAAGTACTATCAATATCTCTGTAGTGTTTTAACAGTAGGTTTTGGTAACAGCTTGAGGATTTACTTTAAGCTGTGGCTTTGATTATTTGAACAGTGTATGTTTATTGCTTATTTTTGAGTAATATATTGTTCTGCATTGCAAACAACTTGTTTTTAAATTGTAATCTTGTACCAGCTAATTTCTCCTTGAACTGATATCACTGTTCCTTTGAAGTTGCAGAAAGTAAAATTTTAATATTGTGTTTTAATCCAGATTTAAACAGATTAAATTGTATTACAAAATTAACAAGACAGGTACCTTTCTTAACATTTCACATCATCACATACAGGTAGCAATGAAGGTGCATGGAATCCACATGGGAAGACATTATTTCAGACAAAATACAGGGCCTCTGTTGTGGATATGTTGACTGGATATCACATTTTGACAAATGGGACATCTTCTTCATAGTTTACCCTTAAATTTGTACTGTAGATTTGAGGCAAAGTCCCGTCTATAGGTCCTGCACATCTCAAGCCATTGCTATGCTGTAATGATTCATTGATTTCATTTCCATCAAGAACTCCCTCAAAATACTTTCATCAAAATGGATGGGTTGACCAAAAAGAAAACAAAAGAAAAGAGGTGTGATTACCATTAAAGACAATCTAGTTTGCATGCTTATTTTCCTCACAAAAGATACTGTGCTCTTTAGATTTTTAAAAATAGAATTAAAAGATTTGCTATTTGTGAGAACTAAATATCTTAATTAAAAGCTAATCTAAAATTTGTGTTTTTTTCAGTATAGGTACACTTTTTTGGGGGGTTTGTTTTTGTTTTTCCCCATACAACGTAAATGCAACTAAGAAAAAGCACTGATTATATGTATGTTTCGTTATTCCTGTATGATATTTCTAATTCTGACTTTTTTTTTTCTCTTGTTTCTCAAGACCTAAAGGAGAGTAAATTTAAATTAACAATGTATACTTATTCATTCAGAAAGAATATTTCCATCCCATCAATAATGATGGGATGAAAATGTTAATGAAAATAATCTTTGTTAAACTACTGTGTTCATTGGCCAGATTTCTTTTCCTGATGGAGTCACAGCACTGTAGATCATATGCTTACTACTAAATGAAGTCTTTAATTGTGATTGAAAATTTTCATGTTCTCAGGATGTACTTTGCTATTTCTGTAATCATAAAGAAATTAGACACTTTTGGAAAAATCTTCTATACCTATTGTTACGCCTGCTGGAAAATAGCAATGCATATAGGGTTTCATATTATACTGTAATAGCTGTTTTTATTTATGAGTGTGTTTGTAACACAATCCCAGACTTCCTCAAATCGGTTAAAAATTTTTATTACTTCTGTGGGAATTGCACTGAGCTTCTAAAAAGAAGTTTGCTTTGCAGTTATTTGGAATCACTGAGTGAGTTCCATAATTACAACCATAAAAGCAGTAGCCAGAGGGTGCAGTTATGCCTAAGAATCATCTTTGATGTTGCTGTTACTGTTGTCTAGGAAGAGAGTCTGCAAATACTGCACTGAGGTAGTGCAAGAAAGAGGCAGTGACTTTAGGTAAAAAAAGCATAAGGGAAATGGCAAGAAAAAATTACCTTTGGATGGCAAAATATCTTGATTTAGTACATAATTACATTATGTATAACTGTATAATTTTCCTTAAATCTCAATTGTTCTTACTTTGTTTGCCACAGTCATTTACTGTATTTTTTTTTCTCCAAGTACACTTTTTAAGAGTATATGTATCTCCTATATTTTTAATCAGCATTGAGAAAGCATAACTCATTACTTTGACTAGATTTATGAAAAACAAAGCAAAGTATGAAGGAAAAAAAAAAAAGCTAACCTGTTTGAGGATATGTTTATAACTAGATTTTAATCCAACAATTTGGACAAAGAGTCCAAAAAATACAGAGAGACACTTGGTAGGTACAAACACAAGGTACTGCATTTAGCACAGAGTAATCAACTTCACAAACATAAGATTGAAAGCAAATGGCTCTGCAATAGTTCTGGAGAAAGAAGTGGGAGTTATGGAAGATCACAATCTCGTTATGGATGAATGTTGTTGTTGAAAGGGCAAACAGCAAACTGGTTTGGATAAACAAGTGCATACATAACTTGCATAAGATGATCCTTTGGCTGCGCTCAGCTGTTACTGGCTACTTTTTATGTTGAAAATATGTTTTAGAGAACTATGTGGAATTCTTAGGAGAATTTCCAGGGAAGGAACAATGGATGAAAGTGTGGAAATATGCCCCGAAGGAAAAGGTTGTACAAGCTGGGAATATTTAAAGAAAGAAGATTGAATGGAAAATTATAAATAAAGGAATGAGATAGTCTGTTCTCTGTGTCCTTTCTAGATAAGCCATGAGAGGCCAAAAAAGACATGAGTAAAACAAACAAACAACAAAAAAAAAACTTTCTAAACCATTGGAGTAGAATGCAGGGGAGGTTGTGGGATTTTTATGACTGGGATGAATTAAGTATAACTGATACTGATTTAGGTCAGGAAAATGGATTAATTGACCTCCCAGGGGCATTCCAGCACTGACATTCAGTCATCTGACTGTTGCTTAGGTTACCTGGTAAAAATAAGTATTTCTTGCAACAAGCACATCTTTTTAATTACAAAGAGAATAGGCTTTGGAAATTCTTCAGTTGCCCTATCATAAACAGAAATTATTCATACATGTTCTATTCTGTCAACACTTATCTGAAATGAAATATATCCAAAATTTTTTAAATCATCTATATTTGGACTTCTGAAGTGCAATCAAATCACTAGGAATTTTACCATATTTTACAGATAAAATTCCAGTGCCAGGAAAAAAACCTGTATTTATCAGTGGGAATTCATTCTAATAAGGGTTGATTTTTTTTTTTTTTTTTAATCTGACAGAACAGTTAAAAAATAATAATAATCCTAGTAAAATGTCTCAAGATGGAAAGAGTAAAGGATGAAAAAGCCTACTAAGTTACCCTAATTGCTGTATTTCTCTAATCTATCTGTATATAAGTATGAAATAGAATGGCAGTTTTCACTTTGAAAAGAAAGAGAATTTTTAAATGCAATCTCTCAACCTAACTCCTTTTTATGCCTTTTGATTTTGTGGTCAAATAAATATATCTTTATATGTAGTTTTAGAAATCAATGCAATCTAATTCCTGAGAACCAGTGGCTGTTTGACCCAGTCCATATGGATAACAAACACATACAAAACTACATAATCATGAGCTACAGTAGCTGACTTTGAAAAAAATAAAAGAGAAAGGAAACACAAGTTATTTTGACTTATGATCCTAGGGCCTGCATTTCGTGTTAGAAATTGTGGTGAATAAATATCATCTGTGGTAAGAAAGACTAGTTATTAACTCCTTGCTTAATCCATAAGACATCATTTATCGTTTGTATACTGGAGGGTTTAGGATACAATCCAAATTTTTGAAGAGATAAAATCTCCATGCCTTTAATGTTTCAAGTTCTAGTATATTTGTTGGGCAACAAATGGTTTAATAAGACTTTGAGAAAACGAGAAACAATTAGTTGAGCTGTCTCTGGAGCTTGAGAGTTTGTATTGTCAAAGCATGAGCACTGGACAGGAGCCCTAACTCTACACAGAATTTGAGTCAGTTAAGATTCTATCAGTTAATCTTTTCCGAAAAATGTCTTTTTGTTTGAAACCATAAACTTGCATGAGAACAAAGCATTTTGGGGTAAACTTAAGTTGAGAAACCTGTGTTATGATAGAATTTACAGAGATGGAGGAAGGGAAAACCACGTACCCTTAAAGTATATATAAAAGTACTATATATAATACTCTTACATGGGCTGTAGAAAACTCATGCTCTTTCTGTATCATGCCAGGGAATGTCGAAGCTACATGGTTATTTGTTATTATCAGATGAATTGATCTCTCATATTTCTTCCTTTTTTTTTTTTTTTTTTTTTTTGAATAAGTGTTCTCAAGACATCAATGTTATCCTGATATAGAACTGGTTGTTTAGAGAGAATGGAAAAAGTAAATATAATGGAAAATCTAGTAATTTGAAAAAGTAATGTTCTATCAAATTCTTTAATGTATATTTTTTTCCTTTCTCAGTCTAGACTTCTGGAGTTAATATAGCTAACAGTAAATTGAATTTTTTGCTATCACTATATAGATGGAAATAGAAGAGCCTATTGTCCTCTCTGTATGCAAAATGCAAACAATATTTAAAGATTAAAAAAAAAAGTCTCAAAAAGTAGAAAAAAGAACAAGTTATTTTGTGTTTTTATTGCCGAAAATGAACACCAATTTTATAACAAAATAAGTATTCTTGAAAGGAAAAGAAAGAAATCTACACCAAGAAAGTCTTTTAATATTGCAATGGAAAGTAAAAATAAAAATAATAAAAAGGCAAATTAGCTTTTTGTAAAAGAAGCTAACATCTTTTATTTTTTCAATATGTGCTTTGAGAACATGAAAGTAATTAAAGAAATTATTTGGTAATAGGTTTTAAATATGAAGAACAAGAAAATCTAGACCCTTGTCGGAGGAAAATCTGGGATTATAATATAGAGTGTTTGCAGGCAGTAAAGAAATGTTAAAATTATAAAATACTTGACTAGCTAAAAAGAAAGTATAATATTCATTTCTCTATATCTGTTATGTATCTCTTAGATACAGCTGCTCAGTGGATTTGTGTTGTGAAGAAAAACATTGAAACGCATGCCTTCAGTATCTATGGGGAGTACCTGATAATTTACTAGGTACCCTGCAGTCTCTAAGTCTGATCCCCTAATTTATGGGTACTTACTTGACAACACACCTGAAGTTTTAAGTCTGTCTAATGGAGTATAAAATTGGAATGAAGACTGTTGTGTGTGATTCAAAAACACCATGATTACCATAATGCCAAACACTGCTCCAGCAAAACATTAAAGTCAATAAGGCCATTCAAGTGCATACGTTTTTCTGGAAATGCTGGGTATACTGTGGATTCTTCCTCAAATACCTCTAAGCTGAAATTTGATTGATTGTGATTGCTGAAGAAGTGCCTTTGGTGAGCTTGAAGTCTTTCTAGGAGAAGGTTGGAAATATATTGGGTTTGTTTCTGAGGAAGGAAGGTAGTATCACTTGCCAGTTTTTAACTCTGTGGTATTTAAGATAGTGAAAAAACATAACCTGAGTCAAATATGGTGAATGTGTCTGAGATCTAGAGGACACTATGATACATGGTGAAAAAAACAAATGGACTAAAAGTATAGTCACATAATATATCACTTACCACAGCTGTTTGTATTTGATACATGACACATTTTTTGCGTCACCTGCCCCCTGCCAAGTAATCCATATCTGCCCAGACCATTCCCCACAGTCCAAACCTTTAAGAAGCTTTCAGAGCTGCCATATTTTACAATAAACACCCTGTCACAACAATGCTGCTTTCCTACTGTGTGTATCAGAAAGTGTTTTCTGCTGCTGTCAGCAAAAACAAAAAAGTACATTTTTCATGTGGACAAATGTTGAAAGCAGATAAATACAGTCTGATTCATCCTCTAAATTATGGCAAATGAGTTTCTCTATGTACCTGGACAAGACTGAACACACAGGAAGAAGCAAATGTATGAAAATGTCATTTCCATTTGTCTGTCTAGCCATCTTTTAACATGGAGTCTTGCTTGCCAAGATTGCTTAGATAGGTTTACAGTGTTACAGATTTCCAATATCTTCTAAGTAAAGGGGAAACAACCTGTAAAAAACTTCTCCTTATGATATAAGGAGTCAATTGAGGTAAGTCTTTAGGAATGAAAGATGCCTGAAGTTGTCATATCACTGCAGTCAAACATTCATCTATAATAATATTCTAGGTAGTGACTGAAAGTCTGTGAAAGGCACTGCATGACCGCAGTGGTGGGTACTCATTTAATGAGTAGGTTGCAGAAGTATTCTCTCTTTGAAAAATCAGTTTTATGTATTGTAAAATGTTTTGCTTATTTCAGAATTTAAATTTGTAGTCTCAGCTGCTAGACTTTACGTTATCAGTTACTTATTTTACCAGTAGTCTAGATGGCTTCAGCCATAAAATAAGTATAAATAACTGTTGCTCTGTTAAATCTCCTTGCTAATTTTATGAGGAATTTAGACTGAATTAGCATGACATAAGGAAAAAATACCATTCTTAGACCTTTAAAAATGTGTATCCCACAGATAATATTAATTGAAGTAATTTTTATGTTAAAAAAAAAAAAAGCATGAAACATAGCTGTTAAGTCTTTGAACTGAATACTGGAATGAAATTAAGGAATATTGTTTGTTGAATCTCAATGCAGTACAAATTACTGCAAGTACCAGTAATATTCATCCACTGAAGTATAATCTGACTCTTCTAACAGAGTGAAATTCGTGCTTGTGCAGATGGCTCCCACATGGCCCATGCCTCATTTAAATCCCTCTTAATCCCTCTTTTGAGAATTCAGGTTGGATTTATGCATTGCATAGTCCTTGTAGTGACCCTCAGCCTAGAGTTAATTTCATTCTGTGCTGCCATTTTATCTATATTGCCAATTTAGGCAGCAGTATGTTTACCGAATTAAGCTTATAACCTGACATAAATCAATCCCTTAGACTCTTTTAAAGCTGGGAATACTGTTAGCTTTACCTTGTTCTTCTTCCTCTTCCGTCGGAATCGCAGGAGTTCTTTATGTTGCCTTGACACAAAGTTTACAGCTGCATATTCTAAAAGTGCAGAAAATACAAAGAGCAGACACACAGCCATCCAGATGTCAATTGCTTTGACATATGATACCTATGGAGAAAATAGAGCAGAAAAATAAATATGTTAAAACCATAAAAAATGTGATTTAATGTCAGGAGGAAGTCGATTAATATCTCCGAATCCCAACATTATTTTTGTCAAAAAAATCTTCACATGTAAGTTAGACAGTAAGAGGGACAACAACGCAATTTTTATACCTTAATTATTATTTTTTATAGTGTAGTCTTTCACAAAATGTCTACTATTTACCTCACTAAATGAGGTAATGTTTCTCTTATACTGTATAATTTATCATATATCATACAATGTACTGTATATTTGATCATAGACCAAATAACCCACAAGGATCACATGCTTTTCCTCCATTTCTCCCAATGAGTTCTGTGAAAAATACTAAGGAGAATAGCTTGTACTGGGACCAGTGAGAATTAATCTGTTATGCTGACTTAATGCTCCTGGAGTACAAATTAGGGGAAAGAAGGGAAGTAGACGCAAAACTCTGATATTTTCATTCTCTGCTAATACAGTAATGGTAAATTAAAGATATAGGTTCAAATAAGCCCTGTAAATTTTGACTCACTGGAACTACTGAAAATGAATTACAGAATAGATGAACTCACTACAGTGCTTCTTTGCCAAGCTCAGCTGCAGTCCATAATCTCGACTGGGAATGTAGGATGAGTTTGCTCTCTGTACCCAGATTTACAGGATTTTTATCATTTAAACCAGCATAGCTAGTATCAGGCCTCAAACACGACAAAAACATCTGCAGCTTTCTCTAGTAACCTCTTATATTCTTGTTTTTTTTTTTTTTTTCTGAGGTTTTATAGTGTTCCATTTTCTTATCTGTTTATGCTACATTCAGATGTATTTGGATCCATATACTTGAGGTGCAAAGCACATGAACTTCTGTTTGGGTTATCTATTTTACTTAGAAAAAAAAATTAACAGACACCCTAAAAATACCATGGTAAAACTAATACAAAAGAGGACTTTGTGTGTTTGTGTTGTGCACATTTTTTCCCAGTAACTGCAATGAAGACATTCAAGGAATAACAATTAAAAGGAAAAAGAAAATCTTTAAAGAAAGGACAAGTCAGAAAACTTAAGTAGCTAATCACAGAAATATACTTAAAGCTATTTACACTGTGTAGTGAACCATTCTTTATACAACTTTTTGTAAGTTATTCAGCTTTACATTTTTCTATATTTTAATGTAATTATGTTTATAAATACTGTGTGCAAATTCATAATGTAGGCAGTTTCCAGGAAAGGAATATCATTGAGAGCAGGTTGGAATCTCTGACCTTTAGAAATTCATTCATATTTGCTAAGACTTTATCAGATACTGGGATCCAGAAAAGGACAAACTAGTCAATTGCTAACAAGCAACATTTACATAGTACAGAAAAACGTTGTTTTCATTACTTGCTGAGGTTTATGGTATACAGCATTTGGTTGGCTAAACAGTTGAGTCTGAAGAGAAATAGAATATAATTGACTGTTGGCTCAAAAAACACCCTAAATATTTTAAAGTTATCTCCTTCAGAACAGTAAATTCTAATAGTTAAAACACATATTATAAGTTTGATTTAAGGAGTTTATTTGCCCTGTAACATTATGATTTCATACTAATGTGGTACACACAAAGGAAATCCTACCTACCTTTGGAAGCGATGCTCGTGAACCTGAGCTTTGTGTTGTCATGGTCAGTACAGTTGTTATGCCTAAAGCCACTCTGGCTGGAGCTGCATCCATATTGATCCAAAATGACACCCAGGAGAGAATGACGATCAACAGACTTGGTATGTACATCTGGATGAGATAGTAACCCATCTGCCTCTCAAGGTGAAATCGGACTTCAATGCATGTAAACTTTCCTTTTTATAACAAAGAAGAAATGCTCAGTAGAAATAGAATGTTCTCTAAAGAATTTATACTTCATGAAATATACATGTATATGTTCCCTAATGAATTAAATGTTTTGATTTCTCTTCAGTGATTTTTAATATAAAGAGCCCCCATTATGATATGAATATTTATTGGAAAAAAAAGTGGACTGAAAACCTGCAAATTTAAGATTGAATAAGCTTTGGAACTCCTCCTTCCTTGTAAAAACAAAGAGATGATGGAAACACAAATCATTTTGATGTAGGAAAGTTTTGCTCTGCAATCACATTTGTTATCCCACTTACTGTTTGGAAATATTGCTGTCTGCAAAGAAAAGGCTTGCTTTCCTATTATTTTTTGTTTCAATTTTAAGCTTAAATTATTTTTTTTCTTTAATCTAGTGAATTGGGGAAAACTATAGTGACATCAGTTCAGACATTAAGTTATCAATAAGAGATTCTGCAAATTATGCCCCTTTATCCCCATACAGACCGTTTCAACTGAAAACCAAAATGACTGAGATTCAAGCAGAAATAGAAGACTTGCAATTAGGCTACCTTAGGAAACTGAGTGGCCTCATTTTCCCAAGTAGTGAACATCAAGCAACTTCCACTGATTTAACTTAGCGAGAAGAGAAAAATCTGTTGACTGCTCATAGAAGTGCCACAACAAGCAGGACCAGTGTTTTATCTAAATTTTTTACCCTGTAAGCTCTAGATTTTTTCACAGATCTTGACATGATTAGATTAAATCATTAGATTTTTCTAATTCTGCTCAGTGCTTATATTAATCACACATGAATGGTGCTGAAGGCCATGCTGTTACTATAAATAGTGTATATGTGAAACAGTTTCCTGTAGCAAGAAATATATATATGACATATTTCATAGTTGTTTGAAGGAAAGCATTTCCTAATTCTAAATTTAACTTGGAAAACCATCTATTTATTTGTTTCTTAATTGTTATGATTTTTGGTGGGTTATGTTTTCCAATAGTTTTTGATAGTATTTTCCTAATTCATCTTTATCTGCCAAAATGCTGCTTTATAGCAAAGGGTTCCATTAATAGTGCTTTAATATTCATCATATTAACAACATCTATATATCAGATTTATTTATAAGTTTTCATATTTATTATATTGTATGTTATGATGAGACAATAACATAAGGGATACAGAATCGAATATCAGATAAGGTCAAATGAAATGTTTTTATCCTAGACATAAGTGTGTAGAATTATATTCTGAACTTTCTGCTTTCATAATGTTTCTTTTAACAGGCCACTAATTCTTGCTATGGTATCAATAGTAAATACCATTTTGTGAAATTTGTATTCTGACAAGGAACTCAAAAACCCCACCATATTAAAAAAGAAAGTTATGAGATCCCATTAAATGTTCAATTTTTAAATGACATGATATACCACAGGAGTTTTATATCTGCCAGCTCAATTATTAGTTCCACTCCTAATTGCCAGCATTTTCTGAATACTATGTGCACTCCTGAAATCTGTGTCCCAAATCCTGGCTCAACCATCTGCTGCTCCAACTTCAAACCTGATTTCTGCTTCAGTCAAGGAATGAAGTACTGGTTTAAAGAAATTAATGGTAATTTTGCTGTTTACTTCAGAAAGGGATGGGATTTTCCCCCACATTTCTCTTCCAGTCTCTTCAAAATGCTGCCTATGAGATACGTTCTTTGAGCAGTTCAGTGCACCTCAGGTAACTACCTGCAGTTCTCCACTGACTGACCGTTGTCAGAATCATATTCTTACTTCAGGTTGGTCCTTACCCTGAAGATATATATTTTTGTGGTATTTGTTCTGTTAATTCAGCACTCTTGGATAGCTGTGGTCCCTTCTTTCTGTCAGCAGTTCAATGACTATATTCTTTAACCCTCCTGAAGACTGTCTACCCCATAGGCTCAAAATGGTATACCCTAAACTCCCATTATATCTCCTCCTTCATTGCTTGGCATATAATAGTGAGCTATGAAGAAAATAAGCTAACTTGGTTTTATGTCATGGTTATGTCATGTTAGCAGTCATAACTTGAAAATATCTTTTCTGTTTGTTTAATACCTTATTTAGATCATGACAGGCAATTGCTTTTGTAAAATAATTGTAATAATAGTAATAATTTTGTAAAATTTTGGCTATAAAATATTTGCTCTTTTTCTTCTTTAGAACTCCCTTCCCTTTCCCCACCTTCCCACTTTTTAGGCTTTCTTATACAACACAGAAAATAATCTTTGATTTGAAAATGTGCATTTGTAATGTTTGCAGTTGTTATAAGAGAATTTCTAAGATAGCCAAACAAGGATATCTGAAAAAGTAAAGATAGGAAAGCAAATTAAGGCAGATCTCAGAAATCACAGTAAATCATGGTGTTAAGGAGTGACAGGAATGTATCAACCCACTTTAGGTCTCTTTCAAAGCATTTCATATGGCATCATGTCAGCAACATTTACACGGTTCAGCATGCAATACTGTCTTCTTCTAAGGCTTCATATTCCTTTTTCAAAACAAACTAGGAAGAAAAAACAAGGACCAACAGAATGAATAATATATGCATAACTGGAATGTCAATAATCATTGGCTATGGATTGTACATTGGTTGTACTTAGCAAAAAGCTGGATAAGAAATCAAAGTCTTTTTGCTGAGTACTCAAGTGGACTTGATTTAATCCAGAGATCTCAGCACAAAAATAACATGCTCCTAAACCAGAAGCAATAAACACTATACTCATTCTGATATGGATTATTTTTATGTAGTTGCAAGCTTTTCAGATTCTTCTGAACTAAGGAGAAAGGTAGGAATATCTGTGGATAACAGAATACTAACAAACCAAAAGTGATTCTGAAAGAAAGGGATATAACTAGAAAATATAATATCCACAGGAAAGGAGAAAAAAAGGAGATTATGAAAAGGCCAGAATGAAAACTGAGTGATATGTCAGAGGAGTTATACTGAAAGACAAAATGTTTTTTGTTTTTTGTTTTTGTTTTGTTTTGTTTTGTTTTTTGGCTGGCTTCTGTAGTTTTGTAAACAACATTGAACAACCTGAAAAAAAAAAAAAAAAAAAAGCTTCCAAATTGCTTAACTCCACTGAATGTGTGACTTAGATTCATGCATAGTCTTAGGCCAAGTAAGTTTATAGACATATATATGTCTATATGCCTATATGCCGGTCCATATAGGAACCTGATGTCTCAGCACGGGGATTTCCCTCTCAAATGTAGCCACTTCTTCCCAGCTAAGATCACTGTGTTCCTCCTCCCCTCTGTTCCAACATAACACTGAAGAATTAGGTTAGTAGGTGGCAACTTCCCAGGGAGACTGGTGACTACCCAAGTAGACACTTTTCCTCTCCATTTTTCCACTGATAACTGTTGGCTTTCCGATCAGTGGAAGAAAGGCAGAAGCCAGAAGTCAGTCTTGGCAGCGTGGTTGCAGTGGTTGCTGATCTAAGTGTGGAAGGGGTAATGTTAGTTTTTGCCCTTCCTGTCTGACATCAGAACCACCTGCATAAACTTGGCTGATGAAGCAGCGTGGAAAAACAACATTTGCACTAGCAGATGTGGGCTTCAGTTAGAAGGCAGCCAGCAGAGGCTGTGCAGTTCTCTCCCAGCTTAAGCTATCATTCAGCTGTGTGCCTCCACTGTCTTCCTGTAGTCCATTGCCAAGTCAAAGTCATGTTAGCTGTGGTCTGATCTATTTGATTGAGTGCTTTAATGGATCAGAAGAGACATACTGTTGCAGTCATCTCAGATGGGGATGGAACGAGAAGCAGCTAAGAGCATTGCTCTAATAATTCATTCTCAGTGCATAAAAGGTGAGTACTAGTTAATTCTGATATGCACTGTAGATGTCAAGGAGAGTTGTTAGGAGGGATGTATGAAACCTTTGTAATATTGTGGTTTTGCTGAGGCTGAGCACCAAATTAAGGTTCTTTTTTTTTCAGTCTCATCTGCCTCAAACTGCTTCAGAGGCAGGAGCTGGTAAAACTTAAATTTATTTGTCCTCTTTTGGCAATCCTTAAGATAACCCTTGGGGGAAGTTCTTCATACTTTACCCTTACAATGTCATGGTCATTGCTATTCCTGGAAAGGAATGGAAAAATTCCTTCCTGGAACTGATAGGTTGAGTAACAGTATCTGTAACTACATAGAAAGTCTTCACAATGGAGAATCAGTTTAAGAAACAGCCAAGAAAATAGCATGCCTGAGAAATAATTAATAAAGATTAATTATATCTAAATTACTATCAAATTATTAAAAATCAACAATATAACAATAAATATAAAATCAATAAGTATGAACAACAACAACACAAAAAGGTATCTAAGTGTGCAGAGATTTAAATGTTAATCTATGCAGAATGGAAAGGTATCTGTTGAAGGTGCTGGTTCTTGATATTGCTTTTTATACTAGTCAGTCATACTCTGACTTTTCTTATAAGAATTAAGAATTATAGTTAATGCTAGTATCAAATCTACCAAGAAGTATTTGATGGAAAGGCAGAGGACTGTGTCCCAAAAGACTATGTGGCCTAATGAAATTACATTAAACTATTTACTTAAGCCAAGATTTTATATTTCCTGAGTAGGTAATGTAAATAAATCTGAATAATTCTTTATGGGGTCCTGCAGAGTAACAGTCTGAGAAGTGAATATTTTATATTCTGATTCTGACACATCTCCCAGTATGGATATAGACAACACAAATCTGTTTGTACCTACAACTGAGGATCAACTGTCAGCTAGTCCAAGGGCCAGAATTTTGCTAGCTGTGAAGATTTGTTAATGGAGTTCTGAGGCAATTGAACTGTTATCATAGACCTCTCTTCTAGCACTACATTTTCTCCCAGAATGCAGAAAAATGGCTAGAGGTACAGGTTTAGCATGATATTAAGTACTGATAGGAAAAAGAGAGTGGGACTTCTCTAGTGGCTAGAATATGCTCAGCCTAAATGGCCTACTTAGATTTAGGT